GTTTTTTCTTTCGGGGGGGGGGGGGGGGTTCTGTTTGTATATGGCACACTAAAACTGTATTGCTGTTGCTCGGAACATCACAGGCATACAGGTTATTGTTACTATGCAAGTGGAGTTTTGAAAATCTCTCTTCCCGGGTCCCTCATGACGACCGTTTGCTTGTAAATCTTGTGGAAAAACTCAACCGGAGTGACCGTTAACAGACCCAGGCCTGAGAGCGAGGCATCAAGGTACACATGAACCGTTCCTGTATGCAAGTGCAGTCTGTTTTAATGGAGGAAGAACAGCCGGATGTCTTGTCTGGAGTTTTTACGGAGTAAATATTTCCTCCTGCAGATCAACCGGACTATTTTACTGCTGTTACAACACTACAACCATGTCTTGCACTCTGTATGGAATGGCTTTGATTGCCACAAACTTACGTGACGCATTTTACAAAGTCGTATCTGATACGGAGACTACGGATTGTCCTTGTAACTCTTGACTCACCTGCCTATCAATGCAATAGGACAAATGTAACTCTAATAGCAGTTTCTGCTTTGGATCGAACCAGCATCTTTTGCAAAATGGGTCAGACATTGAGGCAACACTCCCCCTCCTTCGGTTCACATAAGGACCTACTTTATCGGTGATTTATCTGAATGAAAATGGCTCCCTGTTTTTCCCGAGTGAATCTGTGAAGGTTTGTTGGAAAGATGGAAGTGTTTCACTCTGTGACATTTGTGGTGATGTACTTGCTTGATACAGTGTGACACTCCTCATTTAATCTCAATGATGGATTTTAAATGTAACCCTTTTTTTGCTGACGTCTGTTATGTCGCAGTGGCCAAAAGCACTCCTTGTCAATCCTTATACTGAAAGCCCTCAGTGTGGCCACCCAGCATCCAAGAGGTCAGACGGAGGAATAGTTTTTTTTTTCCTTCAATATTTTTATGTAATTTTTTTTTTTTTCTATTTTATTTTTTAAATAAACGTCTTAAAACCATGCATGCACTTGCTTGCATTTTATTTTTCTACATTATTTGTTGTTTGAATAAATTAATGAGATATTAAATCATGCTTTACTAGATCAGCACTAATGGCAGATGTTTGGAGATGGAAAACAATAGGATTGTGGCTGGTACTATTACTGATGTTTTACCACTAGATGGTGGGCTCGCACTTCATAAGGCAGAGCTCTTCAGTTTGTACTCGAAAGAGATAAACATACACTGATAACAAATTATTCTTATTTGCTAGTAAGGTCTGAGACTCCCACAATGATGTAAGTTTATGTGCATGAGTTATATTTAAAAAAAAATAGTTGTCTTTAACCTGGTAATGCATGACATATGAAATGATAGTCTGATTTTTTTCTTTTTTAAATGAGACCATTTATATAGACAAAATATATATATATTTTTTTTTAAATGCATAAGTTTGTATAGGTGTTTGTGATTTAAGAACCACTGTCATTGTTGAAATATCAAGCTTTTATGGCTCAAATTTTATGACTCCAGGAAACAACACATCAGTTTTGTGCACAGACACAGACAAATATGCTATTTGGTGCAGATGCTGGTATTACAATGGCCAAAATGTGAGATAGATTGTAATGTTAATCAATGAGTTTATATATATATATATATATATATATATATATATATATATATATGGGTCTGAATACTTTCCGTACCCACTGCATATCTATATATATATATATATATATATATATATATATATATATATATAGCAGTAGCTATAACCGACTAGGCTACTTACTTAAAATGCAGAAATGTTACATAAAGCACTTTGTAAACACTGTTTTTAAAAGATGCTATATAGGCTAAATAAAGCTTTACTTGCATACATTTTCACATTTTAGGTATGACTAGCTGTATTGTATAACAAAATGTAGAAGTCTCAATTATTAACTTTTTATTCCCATGAATTCAAAATCCTTTTATTCTAAAATGCCAAACGTGACTTATGTTGGCCTATTGTTTGTTTGTTTGTTTTAAAATCTTGCTTAAACTACCACAAGCCATAACTACTAAATAAATAAATATCTTATCATAAATTAACAATACTGTTAGGTGTGGGGTTGAATGAGTGCACTCCATAATGTCCACTGGTCTCTGGTGCGTGCGGGTTATCAGTGAATCGTTCACCCGATCGATTCGTTTAGGAACATGATTCATTCGGGAGCGAAACTCTTCTGTGTGTTGCTGAAGATTCGTGAGGTTTCTGCTGCTCTGTCGGTTGGAGGTGTTTTCATTGGCTGAACAAAAACGGTGCAGGTAACTGGCGAAATATTGGGTCTAAAAATGTGAAGTACTACTAAATATTTTATGGTTTGTTTACTGAGCTTGTATAAAAGCAATGTTTTACACGGTGGTTTTACTGAATATTAGAGCGGCCTACGGTCGAATTACAGTAATAATGTTACAAGTGAGGAAACAATTATAATCCTGTTTTCCTGTTAAATTGGATATGCCATATTACTTGAAATGCTGACTCCATTTCTGATGTTTTGCAATGATATAATTTGTTACGTGCGTGTTTTAATTATCAACATGATCATTTAAGCTACTGTGCTTTAACCTGTTTTTTCTAACATTTGCTAAACAGGTTTATTATATTTTCTTTACCCTGTAAAGCCTGACATATGAGATAACAGTCAGAAACATTTTTTTGAAATGAAAGAGTTTGTTAAACCTTTATAAAATATCTTGCATGTTGTAAAATTGCATGTGTTTTTGTTGAGTATCATATTTGGTAGGCTACATCAGGTTTTTATGGCTCATAGGAGAATATGGATACATACACTTTAGGAAAAACACCTGTTTTATAATGCTGATATTTATATGGCCAAAAATGTAAATCAGCGAGATCTTCATAACAGCATTACAGACAATACATATAAATATCCGTTGTCACTTGATATCTCCCAATAATATGTCTTAGTAAGATGCTTCTGTTTTAAAATTAAAGCTCTGTAGTTTTTTATTGTTGTATTGTTTTAATAGTTGTATTATAGATAGAGTTATTGTGTTTTATGTCGAAGAATATAATGCAATGCGATACAATACATTTTTATCAGAAGCCTGATATATCACATTTGATAGGCTACTCACATTTTAACATGATTTTCAAAATAAATTAACGTTCTTAGAATTGACAAGACGGTTGACCCTGAGTGGTCAGCTAAATATCTACAGTGGATCTAAAATATGAATAGTTAATTATAACTAGTTATGGTTAATTATTCATATTTCCCCATGAGCTGATCCGCTACAAAATGATTAAAATAATGTATGCATAATCTGTTCAATTTGATTCAGTCCAGTAAATATTCATCTTAAAATATTTATAACAATATAAATATTATTCTTACATTTACTTTAAGGTGAACATAAGTATAAACTATCAATCAGACTATAGAAGGCATGCAGCAGATTGTGAGCAACAGGCTTTTCAGCGAAGTTGTGTTCATGTTGATCAGTCTGAGGCCTTTGTGTTTCAAATATGATCCAGTAGGCTTTATAGGGATAAGAGTGAATGTTTGCCATACATCGACAACCCTCACAAAAATGTACCATCACCACGGTAACTATAATTTAAGCAAAACATACCATAGTAACTGGAGTTCAGCTGTTAATAAAAACTGGAAAGTAGACGCAACTGTCATCAAATAAGAAAATACAATTCATCTTAAGTACGACTACGTGTCATGGCAGACGAAAAAAAATCTAATCATATTATACCATATTACCATCACATCACCTTTTTTATAAAAACTGATGGTATTTTGACAGAAAATAAGGCTTTTCACTTACTAAACACCCCAACATTTTTAATGTGTAAAAAGATACCTAAGGGACTGAGATAGGAAGGAAGAGGTTAAGAGAAAACGACTGAAGTTGATAGAAATCGCTGCACCCTCATGATGTGAGATGATGTTTGAAGAACTCCAGAGAGATGATGGAGCCAAAGCTCACAGGACTGAGCAACTGGACCCGGGCTGATAGGGAAGAGAGACAAACCAAAGTCTTCTCCAAAACACCTCCGAGCAGCTCCAGCAGTAATGAAGCCCTGCGAAACGAAGGCTGCTGAGG